TGCATACAAGAACTAGGGTACAGGCCAGAGGTGCGGAGGCTGAGAGGATTCCCCAGAGACAGAGTGGGGAGCAGACCAGGCAGGTTGACCTGACATACACTGCTGAGGGGAAGAGTGAGCAAGACAGGATAGGTCTGCTGCACCATGTGGGTGAGCTCCACCTGTGGGCCACTCCCTGGCTGGGGATCAAACATATGCTGCAGTGCCTACAAATAGCTTCACAATGCTGTGCTTTAACCCCTTGCACCACCAGAGAAGTCCTGCCTACTTGTTCTTTAAAGGGACAGAGAAGACTGTTAAAATCTCCAACTGTTTTTTTGTCCTTTGGGTATATATGGGAATTGCTAGATCATATGGTAGCTCCGTTTTTAGCAGTTTGAGAAATCTTCACACAGCTTTCCATAGTGGTTGTGCCAATTTGCACTGCACCCTTAGAGCAGTTTATTGTTGCTCTATTTACAATAGGGAAGATGTGGAATCAACCCAAATGCCCAAAAATAGATGACTGGATCAAGAAGATGTGGTATATATACACAATGGAATATTACTCAGCAATCATAATAGATAAACTCGTGCCTTATACAACAAGATGAATGGGCCTGGAAGGGATCATGCTTAGTGAAAATAACCCAGAAAGAGAAAGAAAAATATCAGATGGCTTCACTCATAGCAGGAAGCAGGAGTGTAGGGATCAGGGGAAAAAATTGTATGTGTATAATTGTAATAAAGTATAAAAGAACACCAGCTAACAACTATAAACCAGAGACATTCTATGGGGGAGGAGAAGGAAACAGGATCAAAACTGGGGTCTGAAGAGCATATAGGACTATGGTGATGGCACACAGGTGAAGTGGTGGTGGTAAGTCCACGGGATTACAACTGAGATGAAAAAATGTACAGAATGAAGATAATGTAAAAATATATATAACATAAGAAAACAAATCAAATCAGATCTCTAACTCAGCTCTCCTGCCCACCTGTGACTATGCAGGTGTTTCTTTTCACAAATCTTTTACCTTTGAAAAGTCATCATCATTAGCAGCAGCAGCTCTTCTGCCTACTTGTGTCTGTACAAGCATCTTCTTTTCTTTTCCTAACAAATCTTTCCCTTTAAAATGTAAAAAAAAAAAAACAAAAAAACAAACAAAAAACCAGAAACCTTCAGCTATAATTGTAGGTTTCTCTATTTCTTCTTGCAGTTCTTTCATTTTTTTCAGTTCATACATTTTATGACTATGCTTTTAGATGTATACACATTTAGGATTATCATATCTTGGTGAATTAACCCTTTTATTACAGGGTAAATTCCTTACTTCTCTTTGGTGTATTCCTTTTCTGAAGTTTGTTTTGTCCAATACTAATAGCCACTTTCTGTGAGTACTGTCTACATGTCTGCCTTCTTCTACTCTTTCCTGATAACTTATCTATATATTTATACTTAAAGTGGCTGTGCTGTATAGCATTTATAGTTGGGTTTAGTTGTTTGTTATCCAGTTTGAACTCTTACATTTCTTATTTGGTACTTAAGCTGTATACATTTAATGAAATAATTGATATAGCTTCTTTTAGTTCTAGCATTTATTTTGTCTTTCCTGTCCCCCAGGTCCCTTTTTTTGGACAATTTGAATTTTCTTTTTAAGATTTATTTATTTGTTAATGCGTACAGAGCTGGGGTACAAGCCAGAGGTGCAGGGGTGGTGAGAGGGTTCACTAGAGACAGAGCAGTGGGAAAAACAGGTAGATAGAAGAAGTGCACTATTTAGGGGAGCAGTGGGCGGGTCAGGAGAGATCTGCTGCGCCATGTGGGTCACCTCTGGGGCAGGGAATCGAACTCGCACTGAAGCAGCTGTGCTAGCTTGCAGTGCTGCATCTTTACCCATTGTGCCACCAGGGAGGGCCCCAATTTGAATATTTTTTTAATATTTCATTTTAGTTTGTCAATTGCTTTTTGGCTGTGTTTCTTTGTGTTTTGGTTTTTTTTTTTTAAGACTTACTTATTTATGCATACAAGAGCTGGAGTGTAGGCCAAAGGTGTGGGGGGATTGATGAGAGGATTCACCAAAGACAGAGTGGGGAACACAACAAGAGATCAACTGAAATACACTCCTGAGGGGAGCCATGGGTGAGACAGGAGAGGTCTGCTGCACTGTGTTGGTCAGCTCCCTGGCCAGGGGTCAAACTTACCCTGCAGTGGCTGCCCATAGCTCGATAGTGCTGACTGAGACTTAACCCCTTGTTCTACCAGGAAGGCCCACTGGCTGTGTTTCTTGGTATACCAATTATACATATCTGTTGTAATCTACTTGAAGTAGCATAGTGCCTCTTCAATGAAATATAAATGTTTTGCTACTATAGGGCTCTTTAATCACCATACCCCATACTTTGATGTTTCACTTATCATATGTGTATACATTTATTTAAAACCCTACCAGGCAATGCTGTGACTTTATTTGTGACAGCCATTGGTATTCTAAAGAATGTTAGAGGGACAAATATTTTTTATAACTGCAAGATTTTTAAGAATTCAATTTTTTGTTGAACATATTACAAAAGAGATTTAGTCAGAAAAATCAAAACCCATGTCTTCATCAGACTCCTCAGATGATTCTTTGTCAGAATTTGTTTACTGCTGCTAAAATATCTTTTGGTTAATGGAGCAAACCACCATGATCTTTGCCTTTTTATTTCTTCAATATTTATCCTCAGGTACCAGTTTTGTATACATCACTTTGTATACTTGCTATGGAATAAATCTCCTGCATTAGCCCAGAACCATTGCTGTCCAGGGGATCTTGTCCCAGAGATTTTCTGTTCACCAGCTCCCTGCCTGTTCCACTGCCTATCTTGCTGTTGCTAACCAAGGCCTTGGCTGTGAGGTGGCTGCAGGCTGCCTTACATGGTGCAGGAGTCCTCTGCTGCCATCCAGGAAGTTGAAGGGCCATGCAGATACTTCAAGTGCCACTCTTAGCCTCCCTGTACATCAGCCTCTATGCTATCTGGGATTCTGATCACCACTGTGATGATTGTATACAATACCCCCACCTTTACTTTATCTCCTCTCTTCCTTTCTTGCCTGTCAAGTTTTATTGAAAATTCCCAGGACAGTCTAATTGGTATTCCCTTATATATTTTATTATTATTTCCCTCAATGCTTTCAATATTCTGTCCTTTTCATTTACTTTAGCAGTTTTATTATAATGGGTATTAGCATGGTATTATTTTGTTTGGAACTCTTTGGACCTCATAGATTAGAATGTGTAATTTGTAGCTCAGATTGAATGGATTCTCAGCATGTGTTTCTTTAAATAAATTTTCTATGCCTTTAGCTTTCTCTTCTTCTAGGACCCCCATGACATGAATGCTGTTTCTTTTTTATCCTAAAAAGTTCTTACACAGTTTTCCTTTATTTTTATTCTTTTTCCTCTTTGTTCTGTTTATACATTCTCCACTACTGTTTTCCAGCTCACCAATTCTTTCCATTACTTGCTTTTGTCTAACACTGAGAACTTCTGTATTTTTTAATTTGTTTATACTTAGTTTTTAGGTAAATTCTGGTGTGCTAGTCTCAATTTTTTTACCTTTGTTGTGTTCTTATTTACATTACCTATTGCTTTCCTTCGTTCAGCAAGCATAACTGATACTTAAACAGTCCTTCAGACATAGCCTATTGTTTTGCTGTATTTAAACTTTAAACTTTACTCAGGCTTTGTTTTTTTTTTTTTTTTTTTGGTTTGTTTTGCTTGAGTACTGTGACATGTCCTTCTGTTTACTTTTGTTTGTGTAGGTTGTAATAGGGAGTTTCCTTTTTTTTAAATATTAATAATTGTCTTTAGACCCCTCAAACATAAAGCTGGGTTAGTGAGAACATTCAGTTGTTGTCTTGGTTTTGACCCTAGGTTGGACATAAACCAGGTATTTGAGCCTGCAGTAGTTGCTTTTATGAGGCAATGTGGGTGATCTAACCTGGCTGTCCTTACTGTTTAGAACTCCAGCTTTTCTAGATCGGAAGCCTCAGGCTCAAGCCAGTAACATCACTCAATCCTCTGTTTCTTTGAGTTCTCCAGGAGAGCTCCTTGTGTCCTGCAGACCAGGCCTGTGTACATCCTTCTTCAATGGTGGAGCAGCATCACCAGAGTGTCTTGGTGTGGGTTTGTTCTCCAGGAGAGCTCCTTAGTTAGCAACAGAGAGGCACCCCTCTACAGTAGTGACTCCTCTCTCATGTGGGCTCATGTACTGCCCCGGCAAACAGTGTAATTACTGCCCTACCCCTTCCTGCAACACTCTTGCTTCCAGTGTATGTGGTAGTGTTCTGTTTATCATTCAACGTTGTTTGCTTTGTCCTGTTGTATTTAGTTGTTAGTTTGAGGAGGAGGTGAGCCTGTTGTCTTCACTCTGGCACCATTCAGCCAGAGTTTCCGATACAGATTTTAAAAGAATACAAAAACTACCTCCCTGGTGGTGCACCAGGTTAAAGCATTAACACTACAAAGCTAGCCACAGCTGCTTCAGCATGAGTTCAATCCCCAGCCAGGGAGGTGACCCACATGGTGCAGCAGGCCTCTTCTCCCCTGCCTTCTGCTCTCCTCAGCAGTGTACTTCATCAATCTGCCTGTTCTACTCCCTACTCTGTCTTTGGTGAATCCTCTCACCAGCCACTGCACCTCTGGCCTGTACCCCAGTTCTGTATGCATAAATAAATAAATCTTAAAATATATATGTATAAAAGAATATAAAAACTAAGTATGGAACCTCAGTAAAGGGAAGTGGAGGATGCGGGACCCACGGCAGAGAAGGAATAGAATATTTGATAGAAAGTGGACAAAAATTCTGTGATAAAAATAGTCGGTAATATGCCTTAATATTTTTCTCTAGGATGAGGACATTTTGAAAAGAATGTTGGCAGATTATTCTAATAGTGCTATTTGTAGATGCCTCCACTCCTCATATTTCTGTTTTATAGTAGGAGTCTGACAGATTTTTGTTTTTCCCCTTCTTTACAGTCCTGAGGCTTTCTACCAATGCAGGCCAATGGAAAGAAGCAGCTAGCAAGGTGACCCATGCGTTGGTTAATATCAGGTAAGGAGAGAGAATGTATATCTTTTGGAGTCTTTTGGCTCATCCTGAGGCTTATTGTGCCTTTCTAAGTGGAGTGTGTTGAATACTACTACTATTTTAAGCCCTGATATCTGTAGGAGTGAAAGAGATTGTCATACTTGATTAGGAAAAGCAGAGTACATGAGTTTGACTTTGTCACAGTGAACTAGCTCACAGTGCTATTTTATGAAGTCTTACCAAGAGGTAGTTGCAAGCTCTTTTCAGGCATCTTTGTTGCCAAAGTGTTTTCCAAGTATAAGCCATCTGAATGCTTTTCTCTGAAATTTTGTTCTGCTGTTCTCTGTGAGTTCAGTGAGTGACTCATGGGGATCTGCAACTTTGACATTTTACTTTGCATGGCTATTTCTGTTTGTGGTAAACAGAGTCAAGTGGAGCTCATGGGGCTAATTCATTGTAAGTTCCTTATGAAACAGCAAGGCAATTACAGAGTCCTGTACATATTGGATAAGATGGAGTCAGACGTGGAGATGGTTTAGAGTTTTGAGGAAACACCACTCACACACAGGAATGAGCTGTTTGTAAATGGAAAGAATGTGCTCTCAGTATTTTGAGCACAAAAGCTGGCTTTTCTTACATTCCCTGCTCCCTCTGTGTCTATCATTTCCATTTTCTCAACAGTTATTAAATTGTTCTTGCAAACAATTGAAAAATTAATGTTGAGTAGAGAGGCAAACCCAACAGATGGAGAAACTTGATTTAGCTCCAGATGTAAGCTTTGCCAGACACTGCCAGTAATAGTAACACACATTTACAACTTGCTATATAGATTGTAGTGTGTGACAAAGCTAGGATTCAGTATTTGTTTCTGTGTCTTTCTTTCCTTTTCCTTAAAATGTGCTATGCCTACAGTGTTTGGCACATCTGGGAACAAAAAGAAAAGTGTGAAATGTGTCTTGGGAGGGCGGGAATGAGGGAGCATGGGGGTGAGATGTGCTAACAAGACTGCACTGAAGGTTGATCTGCCTTACCTGACCCCAGAGACATTTTCCTGCAAACACAGTTTTATAAATCTCAGAAATGAATGCAGATCTGCATTTAATAATAAACCAGATACTGTAGTAAGGTCTTTTGATAAATGTGATTTTCTATAAGAATCAGGAATTACAAACTGCCTTCTCCCAAATATCCCTTTGTGACCCAAGGGCAGTATGACTAATGTGGGTGTTTGAAAAAAGCACCAGATTCTGGGCTGGAGTATGAAGTGCATATGGGTATAATTTATGTTGTGTTTATTTATTCATGTATTTATTTAGGCTTTCCAGGCAGCTCCTTTTCATCTGGGGCCTGTTTCCTTGATCACATTCCTTTATACTTGCTTTATCTCCTGCCTTGTTGCATTTCCTTCCAATGGCTTCTGGCTTGGCTGTCCTTATTCTTCCCCAAGGTCATCAAATATCTAACTTAAGTTTTTGTCCTGTACTTTTTCTTAGCCTAGGAAGGACTAGACTGACCTTAATAAAAAATGGTTATAGCTATGACCTCTTCCTTCTCTTTGGAAGTCTCTGTCAGGTATATACCTTTATTTTCCTTCCTCAAACTTCTTTGATAAACTTGCTGCAGAGAATAATTATGTCATCTTCACTGTTCTTAGTGGATAGGCTTGGTATATGTCTAAGTATCAAAAATCTAATAAGTTATCTCAAGAAATGACTATAATGGGTCCTCCCTGGTGGTGCAAGGATTAAAGCTCAGCACTATGAAACTGTCCACAACCACTGGAGCAGCACCAGTTTGATCCTGGACCAGGGAGCTGACCCGCTTGGTGTGGCAGACCTCCCCCGTCCTGCTTGTTGCGCCCCTCAACAGTGCATTTCAGTCAGTCCGCCTGTTCTGTTCCCCACTCTGTCTCCGGTGAATCCTCTCATCCCCCCAATACCTCTGGCCTGTATCCCAGTTCTTTAGATAGGTGGATAGATAGATAGATAGATAGATAAATAGATAGATAGATAGATAGATAGATAGATAGATAGATAGATAGATAGATAGATAGATAGATAGATAGATAGATAAAAAAATTATTAAAAATAAAAAAATTACAATAAAGACATGTTTAAAGTCCAGATCAGGGGAAAATATTGGTGATGCTGTCACCACACAGGATTGGCTTAAAGCCCCTCAGCCTGATCTCTTCCTCCCCTACAAAACAGGTAGATAAACTAGCAGCATGCCAGCCACTGTTCATTGATCCACCCATGAGAAGCAGAGGAACCAAGGGGTCTCACTAGTAGGCGAGACCAGAAAGACTAAAAAGGATACTACGCAGACACCAGCAGGGTAGGAGTCAGCGGTTTTTTGTTTTTTTGGTTTTTTGGTTTTTTGTTCTTTGATTAATGGAAGTGCAAGTAAAGAGCACTCCAGGTGGCCTCTCTGGACACAGAGACTTGAGGAAGTGCCAGGCAAGAGGTTTATATAGTTTTCTAAAGAATAGAGTCTGAGAACAAAGGAATTAAACTTTAGTGACTGACAAAGAGTGGACTTGGCTGAAGTCCATTTGTTGTTCAAGCTTTGGGCACCAGTCAGCTTCATCCTGGGTATACAGAGCTCCTGATCATCTCCAAGGTGAACATCTTTTGGAGCCCATATACCTACAACTCCAGTTTGAACCTGTTTGGTCTCAAGGTCTGTGACTCCCTTTTTCTTCTGGGTTTTTTAACTCCTTTTCCCATAGCACTCAACTTGATAAGCTATAGAATGCGGGTTCAGAAATGCCCAGGCTAGTGAGAAAAAAAACCCCAACAAGCACAAAAAATTTATGGCAGCAGGGGTCCAAGCCTAAAGTCATCTGGTTTTTTAAAACCTATTATTTATTGAGAACAGTAAAATTCTTGGAAAATCTTTGTCTTTGATTCCCATTCTCCTTCCTATCCCTATCCCAGGCCTTTCCTATCTTAAAGCAAACTAAGCCAGCAAAAGTTTACTTTTTTTCCTTGCTGACATTTATTTTCCCCTAGTAAGTGCACAACTTTGTGCTATGCTTTCACATACTTTCTTCAATCATCAAATTCTATAGAGTGTAATGTTCACTTTAAAAAGTAAACATTTTACCAGTGAGGAAGCTGATTCTTAATGATACTGTAAATAGGGCCTCCCTCCTGGCACAGGGATTGAAGTCTCAGCACTATCAACCTATCACCAGCCACTGCCTATGAGTTTGATATGTCATGAGTCTGACCCCCGACATGAGTCTGATAAATGGCCCACTAGAGGCCTGCTGCTCCCCTCAGCAGTGAATTTCAGTAGATCTGCCTATTCTGCACCTACTCTGTCTCTGGTGAATCCTTTTACACAACTCTGCCCCTGCACCTGTGGCCTACACCCAAGTTTTTGTATGCACAAATAAATAAAAATAAATCTTAAAAAAAAAAGATACTATGTAAACTATTATATAACTCTAAAAAAAAATGATACTGTGAGTTGCAGCTATTCCCACAATTGTGTAGCAAAACTGGGAGTTGGTCTTCTGACTTCCAAGTCCAGGGCTCTTTTTTGATGTGCCACAAAGTCCCCTTCTATAGACTTGCATTAAGGACTACCACTGGGGCAAACAGAAAACTCAGCATGATGTATTGAAAAGGACATGGAAATCTGAGTTTTTAAGTTTTAGTCTCTTATTACTTCATGTGTAATAACCGTGAGCAAATTATATAGCTTCTCTAAACCTTTTTCTACTATCTGTAAAACGAAGGTCATGATGATATCATTGGTTTCACATAGGAGTGAAGAATTATATGATGTATGTGAAAACATAAACTATAAATACTGGTCACTTCATTTAGTATAATGTCTATAAGGTTTATGCATGTTAGAATGTGTGAGAATTTCCTTCCTTTTATTTACTTTTAAAGATTTATTTATTTTTTGAACTAGGGTATAGGCCAGAGGAATGGGGGGAGGGCCAGAGGATCCACCAGAGACAGAGTGGGGAGCAGAACAGGCAGTTTGACTGAAATACATTGCTGAGGGGAGCAGTGGGCAAGACAGGAGAGGTCTGCTGCACCATGTGGGTCAGCTCCCTGGCTGGGGATTGAACTTGTGGTACAATGGCAGGTGCTAGCTTGATAGCACTGTCTTTAACACCTGTATCACCAGGGAGGCCTCATTTCCTTCCTTTAAAACAATAATAGGGCCCACCCTGGTGATGCAACAGGTTAAAGCACAGCATTATGAAGCTATCACAGCCACTGCAGCAAGAGTTTGATCCCTGGCCAGGGAGGTGACCCACATGACATGGAAGACCTCTCCTGACCCACCTGCTGCTCCCCTCAGCAGCAGTGTACTTTGTCAGTCTGCCTGTTCTGCTCCTCACTCTGTCTCTGGTGAATTCTCTTACATCCCCCTGACTCCCTCCTTCCCCCCCCGCCCCCAGCAGGCCTGTATCCCAGTTCTGTATGCATAAATAAATAAATCTTTTTTAAAAACTGAATAATACTCTGTTTGTGTTACAATTTGTTTATTATCCATTAATCCATTCTTGAAGCACAAATGGGTTGCTTCCACTTGCTTATTGTTTTTGCTTATCTGTGCTTGTGTATAAATACCTCTTAAATCCATACTTTTTTTTTTAAGATTTATTTATTCATACAGAACTGGGGTACAGGCCAATTTATTCATACAGAACTGGGGTACAGACCAGAGATGCGGAAGGTGAAAGAACCCACCAGAGACAGAGTGGGGAGCAGAACAGGCAGATCGATGAAGTACACTGCTGAGGGGAGCAGTGGGCGGGTCAGGAGAGGTCTGTCATGCCATGTGGGTCACCTCCGGGGCAGGCAGGGATCAAACTCAGGCGGAAGTGGCTTAAGCTTCTTAGTGCTGTGCTTTAAACCCGCTGCGCCACCAGGGAGGGCCCCTTAAATCCATACTTTTAAGTCTTGGGTGCATATGCCAGAGCTGGAATTGGTGGGACCTATGGTAATTCTGTGTTTAATTTGTTGAGGAATTGCCAAACTGTTTTTCAGGAT